CGCCCTGCTGAGCCACATCACACTGACTCAGGATCAGCCGTTAACTTCCCTTAATGGTTTAATAAACTTACACATGCACTAATTTACAGAGGATGTTTCAAGCAAAAGAACTATGATCTGAGCCGAGGGAAATTACGAGTGGCAGAATCACTTGTAGAAATGACTGACTTGTGACTCAGAGTATAACTTATTAATAAATGTTTAACAATGTCTCTCCTCAGTCTCCTCATAAGGGCAAGCGGCAGCAGCAAGAGCTGATCCAGGAGCTCAGGAAGAAACAGGTGAAAGACAGCCGCCATGTCTACGAAGGCAAAGATGGAGCGATAGAGGACATCATCACGGGTAACGACACACAGGCCTGGATGCTCTCCCTTCATACATACTCTCTCACACACACTCAAAGTACAGGGCACTCTGCATGAAGGTCCTCTTTACTGCCATACATTCAGTCATTAACAAGGGGAATCTAAACCAACTAACTCAATGACTTTGGCTCTGTCAGATGTTTGAGAACTAAAGGGTAACCTAATGAGTACAAACATGCACTGACACTCAGCTCAATGTGTTCTATGATCATTGCTTATCTTGTCTGCTCTGTCATTGCTTTGTAACACTGTACATCTGTACATAGACGGGGCCGGGATGGGACTAAATCGTACAATATTATTTAATCAGATGTACATGAATACATCTCGAGTCTTCTGAGGGGCGATTAAACTGACATGGACAGTAGTAGAATTTATTTTAAGAACATTTTACTTAAAAAAAGGAGTATATTTACATTGAGTTGTGGCTTAACACTACCTTCAGGCTTTTTCCACCACAGGAATAATGTTAATGTTTTTTAGTGTTATCTCTGTAACAATATAACTTTGATGTATATTAACAGACAAAGCCAGAATAAGTGAATGGTAAAGTTTGTTTCAGTCCCTTCAGTGGAGCCTTAACTGCTAGAATGAACTCCCATAAAGACATTTAGCCCGGCCCCTCCCGATGCTGTTGTTGTATATTGCTTAGCGCTAACCAGTGCTAAAACCTGTAGGAGTCTGCTTCTCTTATACTGTGTTTGTCTTGTCTTGTCCTGGCTGTTGTCCTCCTTATTCTCGATGCAGTTCTGAAGACAGTGCCCTTTACCGCCCGCACCGCCAAGCGCGGCTCTCGGTTCTTCTGCGAGCCCGCCCTCAATGAGGAGTACCATTACTAAGCTTGTAGAACTCTCTCTCTTCTCTAAGGTTGCTGGAACAAAACGTTTTCTTCTTTATGTCTCTCTCTCCTCCTCCCTTGCATGCCTCTTGACACATTTCCTCCCTTTTTTAAACCGTCACACACCTCCCCTCACACTTTTGGACCCAACTGTGCACTGAGTCCGATCTCATGGTTTTTACACACACGCCTTTGTGTGTGTGTGTGTGTGTTTGTGTTCACATGTTTTCTCCCTCCTTACAATGACGTGGTGTCGGTATAACAGTTTTTTCTGCCCACCTGCATGAAGTGTGACACCTCATTTATCATTTATCAACTATGGCAAACCATAATGTCACAGAGGAAATGGTCTCCAAGGTTACTCTTATCTGCACTGACAGGAGATTACAATTAGTGAAGAGTAATTGTTCTCATCAAGTGCTTAGCTGCATACTGCCATCTAGTGGTCACTGATTGTAAACAAACACATACTCATAAATCAAATAATATTCAGTTTTCACTGGTTAGATCTAATTTAATAAAGCGTTTCTGTATATATATATTATTCATGAGTCATAATCTAGATGGCAGTATGACAGATCTTCCAAGTGCCTGTGGCATTATAACTTGCTTTCCTGTGTGTTTGAATGATAAATGGATGTTTGTTATCACATATCATTACTGTTGCAGCTTCTCGCATGCTGATTGCTTAATCTCTTTCCCACAATGCATCACTGTTAGCCCACACGCTCTGCCTGCTCCTGCTGACTGCTCACCTCACTGTGATGAGTCTGACTCACCAATACTCTGCATGACTTCTTCATATGAATACTCACTTACATTGCAGCACTCTTTATTTCTTTGGTATCTCTTTGCACTGTGTGTGTGTGCTACTAACCTGCAGCCCGGCTTCCACTTGTTTATAGTAATTATGCATTAGTAATCCATTCCTCTGGAGGCTTGCATGCTTTGGTTGGGTTTTGGTGTATCTGCTATTGAATGTAAGAATCCTGCTGTTTGTTTCAGTTCACATCTGCCTTGTACTGGAAGTTTGAAACGGGCTCTTTCTCTGTCCTGCTGGTAGCGCCTCCGCAAAGCAGCCTGAGTTTATAACACAGAAAGAAAAGATAGAAGCTTTGATCCTCTACTCCTTCCTCTTAACACTCTCCTGCTCTTTCTCCTCTCCTGCCCCCCCCCCTCCTCTGGCCCCGCCCCCATGCAGCCTGCTGCCACTGCTTTGCTCTCAGTGCTGTCTTAGCAAAGCCGGTGTGAATATGTCAGGCTGACATGCTGTGGTCAGCCTCCTCCTCCATTTCTAACCTCCACTTTGTCTTCTCTTTATCTAGCCCTAAAGAAGAATAATATTACTAAATTTCCCAATGTCCACTCGAGGGTAAGGAACTCGTCCAGTAGCAAACCTGTAGTGGTGGATGTGTCCCAAACCTGGCAAGCATCCCTTTATTACCTCCCTTCTTCTTTTACTGTCTTCTCAATTAGGATCCACATACCTCTACCCTCTCTTTCACTCCTTCATAACATTAAACTTGAATGTCTAACGTTAAAAATAGCTACTCTTTTCAGTCGTTTATTCATCCTTTTTACGATGAAGGTGCATCTTGGGGTTTCCCCAGATGCATGGAAGGTTTTCTACTAAGTCAAAAACCCTAAGCCTGTCTCCGTGGTAATGCACAGAGACAGCTGACCTGCAAGGCCTTTTCTCTTCTGTGTAGAACTCATGCTGCTTTGACAGACAGGCTGCCAGCACTCTGAGCATGTTGGCTCATCAAAACACCTCAACTAGATGACTGACAGCTCTTTTATCCACCCCCACCCCCCGTCCTACCCCCCTTCTTCCTCCTCAGATTTGAGGAATCAGCCTTACAGGCGAGCAGACGCTGTGCGGAGGAGTGTCAGGAGACGCTTCGATGATCAGAACCTGCGGCCGCTCAACAACGAAGTGGTCGTGTGACGAGGGAGACGAGCATGTGCTGGGGGGGATGGCAAGGATGTGTAAGACAGGATGTTGGATGTAGAATGAAGGACGATAAGTGAAAGATGACGAGTGTAGCAACCAGAGATGAGTATGTATATATATTACATAAGAATGATTCCATGTCTGTGGCGTAGCAGCAGCTTTTCACGATGAAGGACTGGGACGTATGGGACTGAATTGAAAGTGTCTTAAAGGTTGAAACCTTAGACAAGCCAAGTGCCTGAACTTATTGTGTGCTAATGTCACACCGTCTTGTTTGTCTGATGACTGTTTTTTAATATTTCCCACTTCGAGCAATACCACTTGACCTGGCTTTTAATTTGACGATGTGTAAAACTGGACTTGCAGTGGCCTTAAGAGCCACGTAAAGAGATGGAAACGTAATGTAGAATGTATGGGACGCGCTCCCTTTAGCTGTTACAGATATTACATCTTTACGTGTTGGGTTTGATGCTGTTTTATCTCGGTACATTCCGGTGCTCTTTTACATTCCTCTTACAATACGATGTGCTCAACCTGCACTCTTTATCTCCAGGCCTGACAGAGGTTATCAGAAAAGTCATTTGTTTTACTAAAGTATGAGAAGAGAATGAAAAAGTAAAGTGAATTTTACATATCAGGCAGATGCTGACTTCTCGTGCATAATTTGTTAGTTCAGTAAATGGATCAAGACTGAATTTGTCGATCTAAAATCAATGAGTGCTCTCATAAACTCTAGCGTCCATTTTAAATGTTGCATTTCTGTAGCAGCACAGCAGTTTGTCTGGTTTCTGGGAACGAATCAGGAGAGAATGAGCCTGTAAAGCAACATTGAAAACATTTTATACCAAACGTAAATACTGCACAATATGCTGAACCCTGTCTCATTGTCATAACTGGACTTTACATTTCATCTGTCAACGGTTTTTCTTTCTACAAATCGATTATATTCCAGGCTACTGTGTCTACTCACTTTATTGTAATTTTAATGTATAGTATTTAACCACTGAAAGGATTTCTTAAAGCTCATGTTTTCATCTAATGTGTGTCTTCGGTCAAAAACAAGTACTCAACACAAAGTAAACCTAAATGTACAGATATTTTGCTACAAACCATGTTTTCTTTTTTTACCTAATTCACATTACCTGATGGTTAATATTGTACATATTGTTTAAACAAAAAGTTTTCATTGCTTTGTGCTATACAACTTGAATGTTATTTTTAACTTATAGTTTTGTTTGTATATTTAATTAAGCCAAATGCAGCCGGACTCAGTAGTTGAATCATCTCACATCATTACTTTGCTGACTGGTGTTTGACAGGAGCATCAACTTCAGATACAGGAACATGCAGCACGTTCTGATTTCAAGTGTTGGTACATTAAACCTCTTAATCATAAAAGACGTATCTAAAATAAACTTGTATTAGTCACCCTGTGGTCAGCTGGTTTTGAGGCTCAGTGACTGTCATCATCTCCACAGAATCACGTGCTGCCGTTCATCTCCATTTTGTTTTCTTCACTGTCTGTAATAGCGACATCTAACTGGATAATACTGGCATGTTTTATTTTTTTCACCAGAAATGTATTTTAGGCAGTTTGTGCTTATGTCAAAATAACTTTTGTTTTTTAAAAATAGGTGATATGAGATTTTCAACGAATATGATCAAATAAACTATTTACCCTGGGTATGATTTTCTCCTCTTTCTGAAATGTTCGTAATGAAGGGAAAGCTATCACTACATGACTTTCATACTGAATAACATGTTTTTTTTAAGAATTACACTGGAGGGTTTGTTAGTGTGATATACGAGCCTTTGACCTTATTGAAATCCATTTACAAACATAATCATTGAACCAGTATTTTATTGCATTTCACGACTATTTCCATTTGAACAGACACTCCCATTAAAACCTTAATGGACAACTCCGCTGCAGTTAAGACCAGATAAAAAAAACGGTTTAATTATCTCTGAGGATGAATAAGAGATTATGAAAGACATGTTGTCCTAGAACTATTCCTTCTACCACTACTTCTCCAGGCGAAGAACAGTCAGTGTGACATTCAGGATATACTTTTAATTGAGTATAAAAATGATTGGCAATGAAAAACATGTACAGCTACAGTCAACTAAAAAAAACAACTAACGAAAGCAACAAAAAGACAACCTGACAATGAAAGGTTGATCAGCTGATCAGTTTCCTGAACTCAAATTAGTCACCAAATAAGCTTAAGCTCAGTTTCGCACACCCCATAAATACCGGAGAGCGATGCAACCACTCAGTCCCCGGACAGTCAGGAGCTCGGAGGGGAATGCATGTTGTAAGTGTACCAATACAATGACATGTGATCATCAGGGGGCATCCAGCTGCTCCAGTAAAGTTCTCCTCCTCTTCTCCAGCTCTCCTTCACTCAGCTCGCTGCCTGACGTATCCCAGCCGCCCTGAACACAACACACAGACTCAGTGAAACACAAACTGGTGTAAAGATGAACGTTTGGGAGTTTTCACACGACCACCTCTGAGTCATAGTGATGACCTCGCCCATTGGCTAACACCATACATGGTCACAATAACAGCTATTCAAATATCACTTTGTTAGAATATATTTCATCCGTTTAGGAAACCTACCTCCTCCTTAACTGGTTTTCTTTTAGGGGACTTCTGTTTAGAGTCCGAGCGAGGTTTCCCTCGGGACTTGTCGTTCTCTTTATCTTTCTCCAAGTCCTTCTCCCGCTTCCCGTCGCGCTCTCTCCCTTTCTTCTCAGTGTCAGTGTCTGGCGATCCCTGGTGGTTACAGTCACCATTAGTGCACGAGCGTACACAACGTACATACACGTAAACACAACACATGCACTTGGGAGTGGTTCCTTACAGACTTGTGGCGCCTCTTCTTTCCCTTCTTCTTGTGCTTCTTGGATTTCTTGTAGCTTCTCTCTGGTTAGAGGCACAACATGTCAGTAACATGTCAAAGTGGTGCACTTCTTCCGTCACTGAGGAAATGAATATATGGGAGCTTTGAAAGCCACTCACCAGATTCTCCAGAAGACGAGCGCTCAGAAGGAGACTTGGACTGCGACCTCTTTTTCTTCTTGTGGTATTCATCGTCCTCAGACTCTGAGCCGCCCTGTGGAGACATGAGGAGACATGAGGAGACATGAGGAGACATGTGGAAACATGTGGAGACATGTGGAAACATGTGGAGACATGAGGAGACATGTGGGGACATGAGGAGACATGAGGAAACATGAGGAAACATGAGGAGACATGTGGAAACATGTGGAGACATGAAGAGACATGTGGAAACATGTGGAGACATGTGGGGACATGAGGAGACATGAGGAGACATGTGGAAACATGTGGAGACATGAGGAGACATGTGGGGACATGAGGAGACATAAGGAAACATGTGGAGACATGAGGAGACATGTGGAAACATGTGGAGACATGAAGAGACATGTGGAGACATGTGGAAACATGTGGGGACATGAGGAGACATGAGGAAACATGTGGGGACATGAGGAGACATGAGGAAACATGTGGAGACATGAAGAGACATGTGGAGACATGAAGAGACATGTGGAGACATGAGGAGACATGAGGAAACATGTGGAGACATGAAGAGACATGAGGAGACATGAAGAGACATGTGGAGACATGTGGAGACATGAAGAGACATGTGGAGACATGAGGAGACATGTGGAGACATGAGGAGACATGAAGAGACATGTGGAGACATGTGGAGACATGAAGAGACATGTGGAGACATGAGGAGACATGAGGAAACATGAGGAGACATGTGGAGACATGAGGAAACATGAGGAAACATGTGGAAACATGTGGAGACATGAGGAAACATGAGGAAACATGTGGAGACATGAGGAAACATGTGGAGACATGTGGAGACATGAGGAAACATGAGGAAACATGAGGAAACATGTGGAGACATGAGGAAACATGTGGAGACATGAAGAGACATGTGGAGACATGTGGAGACATGAAGAGACATGTGGAGACATGAGGAGACATGAGGAGACATGAAGAGACATGTGGAGACATGAGGAAACATGAGGAAACATGTGGAGACATGAAGAGACATGTGGAGACATGTGGAGACATGAGGAGACATGTGGAGACATGTGGAGACATGTGGAGACATGAAGAGACATGAGGAGACATGAGGAGACATGTGGAGACATGTGGAGACATGAAGAGACATGAGGAGACATGAAGAGACATGAGGAGACATGAGGAGACATGTGGAGACATGTGGAGACATGTGGAGACATGAAGAGACATGAGGAGACATGAAGAGACATGAGGAGACATGAGGAAACATGAGGAGACATGTGGAGACATGTGGAGACATGAGGAAACATGTGGAGACATGTGGAGACATGAGGAAACATGTGGAGACATGTGGAGACATGAAGGTGGAGGGAAGCAGAGGTTAATGAGGCATGAAGAGGAGCCTGAGAGGAAGGCGGAGGGATCTGTGTGCGCGGCGAGGACTAACCGATCGAGAGCGGGAGCGCTTCCTGTGGTGCTTCTTGGACTTCTTAGAGTGCTTCTTTGTCTTGGAGTGGTGGTGTTGGCATTCATGCTGTAGAAGAAGAGACGGGGTGAAGACATGCCTTGGTAATAAACTTTGTCACCAAGATGATTCATTCCCACTGCCACAAACGCACCTCTAAGACATGCATGAAGTCTTTGAATATCCTCTTCCTCTCCGACTCCAGAGTCACGTCTTCGAACGCAGAGTCCTTCAGGAATCTGTCTCGGACCTGAAATCATCACAGATCATGATCAGTAAACCGACCTGGTGCTATGACCTACGACCTGGTGCTATGAGCAGTCTATGCAAACTGAAGATTAAGGAGAGCGATGTAAACACAAATCAGCTGGTGCTTTAAAGCATAAGAGTTGTTCCATAGGTCTTACTCCCTCCCATGTGGTCTCGGGCTCCAGGGGGGGGGTGGCCAGCTTCAGCATGTTTTTGAAGGTTGCTTCTTTCCTCTTCATCTTCCTGGCCTCCTCCTTCTCTCGCTCCCTCTCTCTGGCTTCAGCCTTCTCCAGTAACTACAAAGACAAAGATTGGAAAATGAGTTCATCTAATCAATTCTAAAACAATACAAGTTGGAAAAGCACAAGAAAAGCCCTCGAGATAACAGAGAGGTGAGTTTTAAGCATCACATCCAAAGACAGAGATAACCCATGCTCAAGATGAAATAAAATACATTTTTCTTACGATAAGTTGTTCAATACTTTTCCTGTAAATGTAATTGTTTACCAGCCTCTGGGTTCTTCTTAAAGGTCTCCTATTATAGTGTTTTTCATCAATATATTATAGGTCTCAGATATATACAAAACATGTCTCTGAAGTGTTTGGCTCCAAACACCAAACAGATCATTGTAGCATTACCCATAATCCCCTCTGTTTCAGCCCTGTTTCAAAAGTGCTGATTCTGGGTCTGTTACTTTAGATGAAAATAAGGAGCCACTCCCCCCTGAGAGATATTTGGTTAAAAAGAACACAATGGTGCTCTAGGAGGAGATTCAGGTGATAAGGGGGGGGGGGGGGGGGGGGGGGGGGGGTTACCTTGGTTTGTGATTGGCTGATGCTTACACAAGCCAAAAAATCACTATGACATCATAAAGTGGCCAAAATCTGATCAGCTCATTTTCAGACAGGTTTTTATCTAAATGGATCAGGACAAAAGGTGAGCGGATCTTTCTGTCTGAAACTTTCAGAATGTCTTTACGCAGAGGGGACACATGTTTATATATAACAGACATGAAGAAGTGGATTTTAAATAATAGGTGACCTTTAAGGAGCTATGATGTGAGAAACACGTCAGTCGGACAGCAGTCTTACACTGTTGAAAGCCAGCTTGATGTTCCCTGCGTCCAGCGTGGTGGCTCTCTTGTCTGAGCTGATGACGGAGCCAAAGTCCTCGAAGCTGGTGTTCACCTCCACCAGGAAGCCTTTGTCCTGGCAGCGCAAAGGAAGAGGAACATGAGCAGGTTGTTGGACCGAAAATAACGAAATATCTCAACAGAAACCCTGATGTGAGCGGATTTGAAGGGGACAGATATAAAGAGGCACACCGATCTTACCTTCAGAATATCTTTGATGATCCTCTTCTCGTCATGGTAGCGCGCCTTTAAGTCTTCCACATAGAATTTGAACAGATCTAGGGGAGTGGAGCCTGCAGGACGGAGGAGAAGTCTCACTAAACAGGAATGTGTGTGTACATGGTTTGGTTTTGTGTTGAAATATAAAAACAAATGTAAACTGAAGGAAAATAACAATCCACTGTAGTGTTCATACAGTATTTACATGCTGTGTGCTTTTATTTCTGTGGTCATGTCATGTGCGGTTGTCTGCATGTCACATCCACCTGCTGCAGGTGTGGAGCGAGCGTGTGTGTGTGTGTGTGTGTGTGTGTGTGTGTGTGTGTGTGTCCTACCCGGCTGGCCCAGCATGTTGGCGAAGCGGATGTCAGAGCTCAGGGTCGGGTACATCTCCATCCAGGCGGACATGGAGTGGAGATGACCGTGGTCGTGGAGCTCGTCCAGGAATTTCTGAGAGAAAACAACAAAATGTAAATTCAAGTGAAGTGAAGCAAATGAAAGACAATGGAGGTACAGACGGGAAGGGTCCATTCTGTGAGGTGGACTTAGATTATTATTGATCTTAAACAGCAACAGAATACACTACTATGTAAGATTGAAGCCATTATGAACGTTTGCACGTGAGAAATGTAACATCTAAATGAAATAGGAGTCTCTTTCTGTACATTTACCTGTTCACCCTAAATGGGGCCATCATTTATAAAATGAAAATTTCAAAAAGACTCGAAGCTAACGATTGAGACCATAAACTCATTAGGAAAATGTTAACTAAAGTAATATATCCAGTGAGAAGTTGAGTGGGGAAGGTTTAAGGCAGTTTTTCATTGGATTCACTTTAAAGACCTGAGGGTTGCTGCCTGATAGCGACTGAACTAATGATTAGTGTCCCCTATAAACGCTTCCACTGCAGAACAACGTGCTATGAAGAGCTCTGAGGACAGTGAATATATCTGAGTCAGTGCAGAGTTGTTTGGATGAACACAAGTTACAGGCAGCCGAGCATCAGCCTGTTTCCAAACGTTTGGCAGCGCACCGAGTAAATCAAGGACATGAAGCATGCCTTTCTCTGACTCACTGACTGTCCGTTTGTGAGTGTTAAGATGCTCATGTTTTGACCCTCTATTCCCCCTCACCTGGAAAGACTCTCTGTTCTTGCGCTGTCGTCTCCTCTCCCTGAGAAGAGTCTTCTGTTTCTCCTCCTCTTCCTCCTTCTCCAGCGCCCGGATGTGCTCCTCAAAACAAATGAGGGCGTCCTCTTTGTCCATATCTGTCAGCGGGGAAACACACCGTCAGCAGGGACAACTGGGAGAAGTTTAAACACGGAGCCAAGAGAACTGTGGTGATTTTAAATAAAGTGAGATAGAAAGCTCTACACTGTCTCATAGTCGGTAAATAAAGGTTTGCATTTGTGCTCTCGTACTCTGCAGCTCCTCGTCCTCAGCGAAGGTGGGGTTGTCCAGCAGGTACTGCTGCGCCTCCGACCAGGTGGTGCTGTATGTCACGTTGGCCATGTTGTCTAGAATGTTCTTCAGAGCTTCCCAGTTTCTCTTTCTCAACTGCTTGGCTTGCTCCTGGAAACATGTTGTAGAGAGAACCAGGATGTTAATGGTGCCATTGTTTACAAAGCCCCGAATAATAATGAATAATAGTACAACATTATGATGAACATGAAGATGTCTTCACAGACTCTGAGGGAGTTCAGCCTCACCTTCTCCTTCTTAGCGAGGTAGAACAGAACGTCTTCGTAGATCTCCAGCCTGTCTCTCTCCGGTACGCAGCTCCACACCTCCTGCTCATTGAACATCTGTTCTGCTTTCCTACATAGCAAACACACAATCAACCACATGAGGGCAGCATTTCACCGGCCAAATGTACTTTAAACACGCCTGTTTGATGCGTAGTGCGGGCCTAAAGATGGACACTGTGAGAATGAGTTGGATGTAAATAAGAAAATAGGAGTCTTTGAGGATGTGCGCTGAGACTTGGCACACACACACACACACACACACACACACACACACACACACACACACACACACACACACACACACACACACACACACACACACACACACACACACACACACACACACACACACACACACACACACACACACACACACACACACACACACACACACACACACCACACACACACACACACACACACACACACACCACACACACACACACACACACACACACACACACACACACACACACACACACACACACACACACACACACACACACACACACACACACACACACACACACACACACACACACACACACACACACAGACACACATATCTTTGGAAGCGGCTGGTTACCAAGGTCACCCGTCCGTCACTATGACACTCACACACCTCACGCAAGACCAATGCCCCCCCCCCCTTTACCTCGTTTGTTTAAAAGGTAGAAAGATGCTTCATGAAGTTGTAGATTAAACCTCTCCGTTGCCTGTATGTGTGTAATTCAATGGAAAAGACCCTTAGCCCCAACATCAACAGATCACAGTGTTCATTAAGTCCACTCTCACTCTCTAAATTCTAAATGAGCAACGTTATGTAATGTAAACAGCGTGACAATAGCTAACGGGTCAAAGCATTTAAAGAGGAAGCGTGCTGTAACTGCGTGATGGAGGACCCATATTTGACCTTTCACCGACCCATCTGCATAATCATATAGACCATCCAGCCAACCACTAATCAATAGAGACAACCCCTCAGTGAGATCGTGGCAGTCCTTACTTGTATCTGGTGGTGGAAGTCATCTTGTCGTGGTTCTCCAAGAACCTCTGGAAGGTCTCTTTGGACTCCTTGTATTTAATCCTGGCCTCTTCCTTCTCTTCCTTCTCCGTTTGGACTTTGTAGGCATTGAATGCCTGTTTCTTCTCACTCAGTTTGGGAAGTGCGCTTTGACAAGAAAAGGGAGAATTTAAGGTCAGATGGGCACTGTGTTATTGCCTGCTTTTGTAAACAGGATGAACTGGTCCCAGGAGGAAAGTGTACCTGTAGCGAGGATCATTGATAATCATTTTCATAGCCTGTTCCCAGGAGGAGTTTGAGGACACACCCTGAAAAACAGAGAGTACAACTCAAGATCGTGATGACCCTTACTCTTAAACTGGCAACATGTTACATTTCCAACATATTCAAACGACAAAAGGGGAAATAGTTTTTTTGAATTGCCCTTTGTTAGAAGAAGAATGTAGGGCAGGCAGAGGAACAATGAGCTGCTTCATCTCATGGCGGTCAACACATTTCCTTAATTACTAATAGATGGCTGGTTAAGAGGTGTAGAGAGGCAATCATTCAAAGTGCCACGAGGACTTGTGTGAGGGCCTTTTCTGCCTCTTGCATCTCAGGGAGCGACTCCATCCATAATCAACTGATTCCAGCGCACGCCTCTGTCTTGTAAAATCGCCACAGTTATTCTAACTAGGGCTGCACGATATACCGTGTCATGACGATATGCGCGATATTCACATCGCAGGACATGCGATAAAAAAATAAATAAGTAGGACTTGCGATATTAAGTAGGCAAATTAACTCAAACACGTCACAATTATTTTGCTGCTTGCTACTAAAGGACAACTTGCGCGGCTCTCATGTCAGGGGTATTTGAGTGAGTGACACGCAGGCTCTGCATGCACAGCAAACCACCAATCACAATCAAATCTCCAAAGCAAACGGACCGGGTGTTAAAGGTCAAAACACTGAATAAAGTCGTTTCATGTGTTTCTCCAGGGCAGTTTGTCGCTGCTAACCGAGCTAGCTCAGCTAGTTGCTCTGATAACTTAAGATCCAGACGTCCGTGACTAAAATCCTTCATCCGGTTAAATATAGTTAGAAAAATACCAATTGTATAGCATTCAAGTTCAAGAAAGGATGGTTTGCGGAAGAAAAAAAAACGGTCTTTTCTTCAACTCCTGTATGTTTTCATTTCGCAGGGGGAACAAAATCGCAATGTCAGTTTTTTCCAATATCGTGCAACCCTAATTCTAACGCACTCAGGCATGCCACCTTCTCTCACTGTCTTAATCCCAGCCAGCCCCTTGCCTTTGATCCAATGAAGCTAATCCTGAAGACAGAGCCATTACGATCTTGAAGGAAATGGCAGCAAAGAGGAGAGCTTTGTGCACAAAATGAAAAAGAGCCTAAATATAGCAGCGTTGGGAGGTAGGTGGTGCTAGGCCACCTTGCTGCACAACACATCCGCAGCAACAGGAGGGGGGGGGGCTTAACAACTGAGTGGAGACCTCCCAAGGGCTCATGGGGAGGGGGGGACAGGGATTAGATCTAGATCAAACTGTCTAGTATGTGCTGGTAAACACACGAGATCAAAAAGAACCTTAAAAACAAGCCTTCCAGATAAAAATCTCTTATTTCTTTAAGAAATGGGTGTTTGTGTCCTTCCCACTGCAGGTACCCACCCACACCTACACACTGCATTACTCCTCTACACTGTCACTGTGTGGCCTTTGGCTCTCCTCCATGTTAACCCCATGTGACGGCCGGACTCACCTTCTCCTTCAGCAGCTCTTTGAACGCCTGCTTGGCTTCCTCTTTCGTGTTCCATTTGTACGTTTTCTTCTGAAGCTCTGGCCGTTCTTCTTTTATGACTTCAACGCTGAGTGCAAAAGCAGATGTTAATGCATTAACTCAGCCGTGTTTGCATGAAGCATTTAAGACTTTACGCATTCATCACAATGGGTTGAATGGATTTATGAGCCACAGAAATAGACCTGCTCATCCATGAGTCCATTACGTGGAAAGAGTGCTGTGCACATAAAGCCAGGGCCATTATGTGACTTGATGATTATGGTGTCTGAGTGCTGGAGACAGTATCCGTCTCTTTACCTGGCTGTGAGCTCTGTGGTGGCGGAGAGCTCAGAGGGAGCCACATGTGCGTCTGAAGTCTTGACCTCAGCTGTTTGATGCATGGCAGCCTGAGCCAATAGCTCCTCTGAGACCGCTGTTGCAGCTTCCACCTCCATTACGGTTGCCATAGCGGCTGCATTATCTGCAGGAGCTGCTGTGGTGCCAGGAGCCATGGCCTCTGCCGTGCTGAAATCACACCACACCACATGATGGGGAGCAGGACAAAATAGCTGACGGGCATATACTACATGAGAATAGAATGTTTAATATTGCAGAGGGAGAAATAAAGTTCAATAACCGCTGTATTTGTTGTATATAATACATAGTGTAGCAGCAGTAAGGAGTAACCAATGGTAAACAGGAAGTGCTTACCCATTCTCCTCTGCTTTGATCATAGCTGGAACAGACAAAAGGAGAAAGCTGTTAGGGTACTTGTTTCATTTCAAAGTGTATTGCAGATAAAGAGAAAAGCCCAGAGAGAAATGCCCTGTATTTGTGCTTCCTGTGTCTGTACATCAATGATGCCCACACCCCCTATAATGTGATATTCGCCTAACAACCATTCATCAGGCCGGTACAGGCTCTTCCAGTGAGCGCAGCATGGACGGTCACTGCCTTTCTATCTACAGGGTTGACATCAGAGAGCCGCTCTTTACCTTCCAGATCCTCCAGGTCTTTGGGTTTGGTCCATCTGGACTCCTTCGTCTGAGAGTTGTAATAGTAAGGCTTCCCTACGTCCGACTTGTACTCCTTCCAGGGGCATTTAGACAGCATTTGCTAAAAGACGACAAAACAGAAGAAACGTATTTGAGGTATGTTACAAAGCACAGAGATAACTAGTGTGATGTTGTGATCCATAACTTCTTCTATAACCATTTTATTACAATAGACATCGGGAATCTAATTGAATTTCTCTGATTCTGGAAGTACATTTGAATTAATTTTGATAAATGTACACAGTTGCCAACAAATAGACAGATAGGATTTCAATCTGTAAAACATTATGTGAATGAAAGCGAGTAAACAAAAGGTTCTCGGAGGAACATTACAAGATGTTATTGGTGTTGTGCAAGAGAAGAGTGTTTGTACCTCTGCAGGAGATTTGAGATCTTCCGGTTTCTCCCATGTGGACTGCTTGGTTTCTGTATTGTAAAAATAGGTCTTCCCATCCAGAGATTTGTGTTCTGTCCACAGGGACTTCTGACGGGGACAAACACAATAAATAAGTCAGTGCTTCAGTGTTACAAAAAGAAACAAAGCAGGCCCAACCTAATATTGGTCAATTGTTTTTTTTATATATATATATCTATCTCTTATATATTTGCGCAAACCTTCTTTAACTGATCTTCATGTGGAGATCCATTTGTGGTACTCTGCAGGGACAGAATAAGTGATTACAAATGTTAGACTGGAAGTAATGATTAAAACTATAAATACATTCTGAATTGTTAAAATGATGTTGCACTTACAGCTGTTCCAGGTGCAGCAGCTGTGAGGATACAAATAAATACTTCAGACGTGGTTTCTTTTTAATGAATGCAACATACGCAAGAAAATGAAGTCTAGGTAAAGTGACACAAAAAGGAGCTTACCTGCGGAGTCAACACCAGGCTGTGGAAAAGACCATTTTAATTAGTGGATTATTTCTCCAAGAAACACTCACAAAACTAGAAGTTGGCATCAACGCGTCTCCAACACTGAATGATGAATTCGGATGGGATAGCAGAGTCATCATTCACAATACACGGCGACTGACTAATCTTTCATGATTAGAACGAAACTCCACACCCTCGAGATGCGAATATATAATTGTGATGATCAAGTAGATGTCTTACAATCTCTAAAATGGCCTGGATGTTGTCACAATAAATAAATCAGATTGCTCTTTTACATAAATTGTTAACCCATCAGAAAAATGTACGTGTGTTTTATTATGTTTAGTTTCACACATTGTAGTGTATTTTGAAGAAGTGTGAAACAGAGCACTGATGGAATAAGGAGGGAGGAGAGTTACCGGTCCCGTTGGCTGTACAGCCGCAGATGGCATGCGAGGGGGCATCATCATCCCTGGCATCATGGGAGGCATCATGCCTGGCATCTAAAAAAAGAAGTATCATGAAATATTCATCTGGCATTTCCATACCACCCAGTGCAGGGAGGAGCATTAAGACCCAGCGTGAGACAGGCAGGGTGTCGGTGTCTGAGTGGAGGAACTGGGGAGGAACTGGGGAGACTTAGACAGAGTCTGCCGTGCTGATGTAATGGTGTGATGCCACAGCTTGCAATCTGTGAAGCGGCAACACACCCATCCTCTCGCCACCTTTCTAGACTTGTGGTGCTGCCACCTTGTTCACACAACCCCCCCCCCCCACAAAATCACACCTATTTATATGCATGACAGGACCACATGTGCTTGCTATGCAACCTATCTTAGTTTTAAAAATAGAATAATTGAATAATTACAACAACAAAAATGTGACTAACTCAATGATGTTCAAAAGAGGTCTGAGTGCTAAATGAATCAGCAACAACCATCTTCTCTCAACTGATGTTTGTAAAGCTTAACACATTAGCAGTGCAGAATTATATTATAGTAACTAAAATATGTTGAAGGAACTTTACTTTATATCAACTAGGATTTGTTTTCTGTTTATTCTTGACCACTGACTTTCAGTTATGATCGCATTGTGCTCACCAAAGTAATAACGAGACCCCGACACAATGGGGGTTGTAAAGTAGAGACGTCCATTTTGCCAGGTAAGCTGCCATTTTCATTTAAGAAAGACGAAAAGTGAACCAACTGTACAGTAATGCAAGTTAAAATCCCACATTGCAAAGGAAAATCCACGAGTGCACACGGACACTAGCCAAAAGTTACACTGGAGAATCAATCTTTAACCGTCAACCAGACTCACTTCATCACCAATTGTCTTTCTTCATTTGAGTGATTACACCGGTCATCTGGCTTTTTCAGTTGAAGCACAGGTGGTAGGCCCTTGTTTAAGTCATGAGTACGCAAACTACTTTTGTTGGACAAAATATTGTCCCAGATATAAGTGCAATAAATGGTTTACTCTCATTTTCAAAACATTTGAAGCCCCTGATATAATGATAATAAAGAAGCGCAAGTACACCCATCAAAATAACAGTAACCTTCTATTTCACAAGTCCTTTGAAGTAGTATGTAAAAAACAATTTAGATTTAAAAATCTTGAATAAATAAAACTACACCATAAAAACAATAAATAAAATGCACTCTCTAGCTCTGTTGACAAATACTGCACATGAATAATGAATGCACATTTGGCAGATGGGTAGATCAGTCATATCCATTCATCAGAAGATGAGTCCATAACGTTAGTATCCTGAAAGGCATCATTAGGAGCAGGATACATTCTGGTGTGGGAGAAGCAGCAGACACACAGGCCATCGATCTCTTAGAACTAACAAACCCAAACTCAACAAAACCTACAAGCTTCCTCCAAGACTCACCTGTCCCATTGGTGGGGCCCCCATTGGTGGCATTATACCAGGAGGCATAGGAGTCATGCTGGGCGGACGCTGTCCCATGGGAGGCATCCCGAGGGGTGGGTAATGAGGCGGTATTCCTGGTGGTCCCATCTACACCAATGAGTATCAGAAGAGATGCATTAGATTACATTAAACATGAATCAAGACCTTTCATATTTACCACTCTAAGTTCAACCCTGTATGACGACTGGCAACAAGAGGTGGAAAGCTAATTGTCATAAACGTATCTGTCACTGACTTACAAATGGGGGGGGGGCCCGGTACACCCGGATAAGGTGGCGCTTGGCTTGGGCCATTATTGGCGTCCGATGATGACTGTCATGAATAAGAAACACCACACAGAGTTAGTGAACTCAAATGTGTCTTTAAATATTTTTTTTTGGCAAATTAGATTTGTTTGCTACAATATTTCAGTTGCATATTTAAGATAATAATAACAACTCTTGATCATGACATGCATTACCTAAATAATAAGGTTAAGAAATTTAGTATTATTCCACATTTTTATAAACAAATAATAAACACCTGGCTGTACAAGGCTGAACAACTCAAGAGCACCAAACAAATACAGGTTCCACAAATACCATTGGGTGAAACACCTCTCAAAAACAGTTTGAACAAAACCTCAACAGTATTGGTTCATGAGGATGTGTGTGAGTTGGCTGAACAAACGTATTCATGTGCAAAAACCTATAATATATATTTCAGATTGTATGCTCCTCAGACCCGGAACAAACATCCTAAATATCCGAGGTTCGGCCCAAACCTGTTTGTTTTGTATCAAGGCTGAAAACCATTATTTGTTATTGCTGCTTTTCCAGAGGTCATATCATTGCACTTCAGCACTTCTTGCAGCACAATCTGTATTTATTTTTTAAACTAATTTCAATCTCTATTATGAAATATTATTTGTTCAATTTATTTCGTTTTTAATGCTTATGTGTTATTGCCTATGTAAAGCAGTTTGAATTGCCTTTTAGTCTGATATGTGCTATACAAATAAACTAACCTTGTGAAAAAGTTGTATTATTCAAGCTCATATTGGACTTCATTAAGGTATATGGAACTTTATATACAATTATGTCCAATGTAACACAATACCACGAATTATAAACGTTACCAGAGAAACTCCTAACTTATCATTAGCTATAATGTTAGCAGTGTTTGTGAAACAGAAGATTACTTTTTCATTTGTCCATTTTATTTGGCGTAAATCTCAATAATAACATAACAGTGTTGTTGTATAAAATAACAAAAACTCATAATTGCCCCAGAGTGATGCCCACTTGTTAGATAACTGCAAGTGTAAGATTCTGCTCGTAATGAAAGACTACAGACTGGCTAACTCCTGGAGAATAATAGTGGTTTGTGTATAGCTCATAGACTGGTATAGCTCCGTGAGTTACAAAGCTAGTTAGCCAACTGTTCAGTTAACGAAACACTTTTTTTAACCATTTGGTTTAAGTTTATGAACACCGTTAGACGTATTTACAAATAATATAAATAAACCAAGCTTATAGACATGTAAGTGATGTCCACCTTTATTTTATTGTGATACTAGTTCCAGGACATAGTCGGAACCATGATGATATGTGTGTGCCGCTATATTAGCTCCGCGCTAACACGACATGCTAACCTCTGATGCTATAGGACGTTAAACATTATTATGGCAACATGAAGAAAAATAGACGGTTATGTATTAAACACGAAATAACAACATATGCACTTCTCACAGTTACTGGCTTTTAATTTACTGTAAATACGCTATTTTGTTGAATGAATTGTACTCACCATGTTGACGAGGGGTATGGACCTCCGAGAAACTTCTCAACAACGAGCCCAGCGATTGGTTCAACTAGCTCCACCAAGAGAGGTCAAAGGTAAACACTCCGCAGCGTCATCCTGCGTCAATAATGTGCAGAAATGCGCAATCCTGTGACCATGCTGTTTGGGTTTCAGAATCAGAATCAACCTTTATTAGTCCCACAGAGGGGAAATGTACATAGTTACAGCAGAAAAAGAGCCACAGATAGCTTAATGTTACATAATGCTACATATGTTACATGCATTAGTACTAAATTATGATATAATAAAAAATAAAAAAAGTTACATACTTTTCAAAATACACATCCTGAAACAGTTCTTAGGATTTAGCAGCCAGGTGTATATTATACAGTTATTAACGGCATATATTCAGAAAACAATCAAGATTCCCCTGAATTAAATTAAAGAAGACCTTCTAAACATGTCCTTTAAAACCTTATAGAAATCTATGTTTTTAACTTTTTATATATATTTAAACATTTGTATACTGCTTCATGTGTTTCTTGCAGGATTTATTTTATAGATAGGCCTACATTTATTTATTTCATAGACATACGTAATTATTTATTCATTGAATATTGAATACAATACAATTGAATAATTAAGGTCCAATAAAATCAAATGCAAATCAAATTCAGATCTAGTCAAATTAATTAATAAAACATTTTTCAAAATAGAAAGATCCCCGTTGAGTGGACAGCAGATTAGACTGTGCTTGCTCTGGACAACTTCCAGGTGTAAATGTGTGTAACTGTGAGAATGTGATCATGATGTTCCTTCCTCTCAGTAAAAACACATTAACGTACAATAGCCAAATAGGGCAATTTACTGTGTACAAAGAGGTGTTTTTTGTCCAGACTAACAAGTGCATGCAGTAGTCTTATACAGCTTGCAAAGATTATTTCCATTATCTTCCATTACAGTCATGAAAAGTGTACCTTTGTACTGCGTCATTAATAATGATGGAACAGTGTCACATTGTAGCCTATTTCTTAAATGTCAATATGACATTTTATGTTTTCCCTTATTTGCAATCCTTACTGTACTGACATGCTCATTATACAGAATTATGTGCCAACAAAGTTATTATTTATCCTGTTACAATTAATCATTTTGTTTCCTGTTATTTAAGCTCTTATCACAGTGGTCCATTTCTGGAGCTGGAGTAGCATGGTGTTCAGACACAGAAAAATTACCTTGGTGTATTGGGGATCATTTGGAGAAGTGGTGGTGATTTTCCAATTATTGTCTTCTGTAACACAGTTCTCCTGGCACTATATAGCTGGAATGATTCCCAATAATGGTGGCAAATTAGAAATGTCTCAGTCTACTCACTTTTCTTTCCCCCTCTTTAAGTGCCATTCATATGGCAATCATTCTTCCCCGTTGTCTTGCTCCTGCAGTCCGGTCATATAATATCTTTTTCACATAAAACAATTGGGTTAAGCAGTAGCTCAACCATTATGAGAGTTATTCAAATAGAAAATTAGCTAGATGGCCTATGAACAAATAGATTTGAGTTTTTTGCTATTTGTGTTCAGTAGAATCTTGGATATATTATGTGACTGCATGTATTCAAGATGTGTTTAAAATGGAAAGCAGATATTACAGATGTGAAGCTTACCTATAAGCTCCTCTGTGTTGTTTACCGTGGTGTTGTCCCTGGGATTCAAAGTTCTATTGGAGTGTGAAGCATACACCATAGAGATGGGAAACAGATGAGGCCACACTCGAGGTAGACTGCAATACACTCTGATGTATTTACTGACAAGTGGAGGAGAATTCCCTATCCATTCTCTTAACAAGCCTAAAAGACAACAAGGCGACAGCGAGGAGCAGTGATGGATAGAGCTTCAACATAATGATGGAAGTCAGTCAACCACAGAGCATCACTTCTTTCTTTAGGGAAACAAACAAACATAAAGCAAGCCATGAATCGGCGCTGTTGCATATGCAAATGTTTTCAGATGGACTGAATGATTAAGAAGAAGGATTATTTAAAAACATTGTTGAACTTTAAGTCTGTTGGAGAAAAAACTGAAATGTTATAAGTAATGCTGTCAAAATTATCGCGTTAACGGTGGTAATTAATTTTTTGAATTAATTGCGTTAAAATATTTAACGGATTTAACGCATGCGCAGAATGGCCCGCCCCATACATCCCGCCTTCTTTCATTTATCTTTCCATTCCCACAACAATATACATAAAGAAATGGCATATTTTGGACATAGTTCGAATGGTGATTAATCATGATTAATTAATTTTCAAGCTGTGATTAATCTGATTAAAAATTGTAAAACGTTTGACAGCCCTAGTTATAAGTGCATGTTGTTTAGGCCTTTCAGTTTTAGAGTGAGACATTTACTCCAAAAAGTTTTTCCTCTTAAGCTAGTTAGTATGCTAATTTTTGATAGTTTTTGATGTTATGACAAACATTACATAGAAAATTACCTTAGCTTCATCATTAATTGCATAATGTCAATAAATGCAATTCTGACCTCAACAAAACACGTTTTCCATAAAATGATTTAGAAGACATTTTATATTTTAAATAGTTAGAATTATACACAAGAGGAAATAATTAGGAAAACACTAAAAACTACACAGTCTGAAGTCTTATCCCTGATATGAACAGCAGGTGCGCTCATTTTCAGCACGAAGCATGTCCGGACCTCACAGTAGACGGACTACTTGTGAGACAAATATTTTCCAAATAGGAGTGAATAAAAAAAGTCTCAAACAAATCAAATATCAATCTGGCTTAATTGTTTGCACTCACACTTGTATTGATCTCACCATCATCTTTTATTTATGATCAATGAGCTTTTAGACAATACTAATGCTGGAACCATTTCTATACACTGTAGATAAATGCAGTATTTTTACATGCCTAGTGTTCTCCACAGTTTACACGTGCCTCATTGTGGTGTGTGTGATTGATTGACAATATATGAGGCAGTCAATGTTTGCCTCTGGCCATTTCACCCAGTGAGCTTTGAGTCCTGCATGCAGCTGACCTGCCTTACAGGCAGCTCTCCTGACATCTAACGATTGGCTTACTGTCAACAACGGCCACATTAACTACCAACAACACTCAGTCATACATTTGCGGCATGCTTTTTCAATTCCCCCTTTAAAGATAAAGGAGCAGAACAGATCTTAATGAGGTCATGTGAGTCTCTTATCATATTCTTTCAACTACAGATCCTTTACATAACAAAGGTTTCTGTGAGGAAATCATTGCAAAGGAACATTTTTATTTAATGATTAATAAAATGTTCTTTTATGTAGTTAATATTTTGTTGTTCACATGTACATTGCGTAGTGTGGTTTATCTTTAAGAATGATGTACTATGTATTGCTGTAGCATACAGAGATCTGGAAATGACTTCTCCATCTCTTTGTATTTGTTGCTTGAGGGGGGCATGTTTTGTCTGAAAGCATAATTGTCCTCTGGGTAATTATTGACCACTGTGCCACATGATCAATGACAGCATGACCTCTGAGCTAAACATTAGACATTTACTACATGCTACATGCAGACTGGTTTGTGTGCAACTTTACATGGCACTAATTTATATAAAACACTGCATCACAAATGTGAACCTTGGCTACATTAAACTCTGCACAGCAAATTTGTGTCAGGAGTCGAGACATTTTTCTTGGTGAAATTCCTCTCTGGGTTGTAATTATGACGCTCAGACACACAAAGCTGTTGATTGCAGTACCAGCTATTCACAGTCTCTTGTTCTGAAAGAGATCCTGATTTTATGGACATCAGTCGTTTAGGTCAAAGGGTCTACTGTACTTCCTATTTGCAGTGACGCACAAACACAGACAGACTCACACATTATAAATCACATTTTCAAGCTTTATCTGATTGGGATAAAAGAAAAACCTTTAAAAATGACCTCAAAGCTAAAAAATAAAGTGAGACATGACGGCTGAATGTCATTGTAAATGTCAGACACTTTACGTTGAGCCAGTCCTACTCTTTATGAAATCTTTAAAAAAAGTGTTGTCATCTGAGCAACTTGGACACCTGGGACCTTGGTTTATCTGAACTTGAAGCTATGCTTAGCACTTACTGAATGCGTTGTTCAGTAGACTATGTGAGCACTTTGAAAGCATCTGAGAGGCATTGTCATCTGTCAGAAAATGAATTGTGCATGGCATCTGCTGACAGGTTGTCACTCAGAAAAGGCTGCGTGTGTTTAGCAGAGATGGACATAAAAACATAGTGTCACATGCAAACAAACACACACACGCCTACTCGCTTACGGCTGATGCCTTGTACCAGGTTTGATTTAAATTACTGCCTTTAATGGACGTGAACTTAACCTTGTACTTGCTGAAATGCATACACGGCAGGATCACAATTATTTAAAAAGCTATTTTAGTTACTGAAATTGAATTGCTCTGAATCCTAATCAGTCAGTACGTGCAATATATTTAGCCTTCTCCATTTTGAACCTATAGCATTAAATATGGTTTCACGTTTGACGTATATACTGTAGGTGGGAGTGAATATGATGAGTGGTTTAAATTTGAGGACTGATGTCCAGCTGTGAGCACTGGCTGAGTCTGTGGACTGTAATGAGAAGAAATGGCAAGAGAAAAGGGGGGAGCAGCAGGAGCACAAAGATGATGCTAGGGGATTTATGTGTAATAGTAGTCTACAAAAAGGGACTTCATGCTCCATGTCCTTAGTTTCCAATGTCCTAAAGAATATCCCGTTGCTGCAATTTGTTTTCCTGATTGTCTTGTGTGCTGGAAAATGATGTGGCTTGCATGGAACAAGTCGTGTTTTGTCCTATCGTAATAAGGCTGCTACTATTTGATGTTTTATTTTCTGAAGAAAGCTTGTGAGTGCTTCCGTGGTGCTGTTCAAATAACATTTTTAAGTATTCTTAAATTCTTTTTAAACTAAGTAACCACCTGTTTTTTGTATTAGTGATGTTGTTAAAAGTGTCATATTTGTATCTTGAGAAGT